GGAAAGAAATCTCAAATCTAAATGTTTCCCGATTCTCTTGAAATGCCACATTGTAATATTCAAGCCTATTCTTGTCTCCTTCTTATTTATAGTGATAATGATAATGAGCAGTGGATTTTTAAAAAATAATATCTGTGTCTACTGTAACAGAAAGGTAGTACCACATGTTTATTTTAGAAGCTTTTATAATTACCAGGACTTGGAATAAGTTCTACATGAAATAAGAAAGGCCCGTTTGAGATATTAGTATTTATGGGAGGACTAACTGACTCTAGCTTATAAGTTTCCCATTAACAGTGCTTTCTAAGAAAAGGAATAAGTTGTGAAGAGCAACACAAATACAGTAAAATATGGAAAGGAACTCCTTTTAAAATGACCACCTAAGTGTTGGGGGAAAAATACCCTAGAGTCTTGCAATCTCAAAACTAACATTCAAACTCTCAATCTGTTTGATTAAAAAACTTTAATAAGCTATAAAATAAATACACTTCCATTAAATATTAAATAAATTATTTACAACTTGAAAAAATACTTTTTCTCTCTATGCATCTTTATGTACAGAAATAAGACTTAGCACAAAAAATGACAATTGAAAGTTTTAAACAATCAGAACAAAAAGGTTCTGGTTTCGTAAGATCCACTGAAAAGAGGAACCAGCTCATCACTCATAGTTGTGACTTGGCAGTGACTTGGATCTGATACCCTGTACAAAAATAAAATAAAGTGTTAGAAGCTCAATTCCAATATAACTTTAAGAAAATGTCAAAGAATAATTAAGAATCAGAATTTCTGTCAATTTTTTTTCTAGGATGTCTTATGAAAAATGCTGTTTTTCAGAGACAAACTATCGCTTTGTGAATTCCCCTTTCACATCTCCTTCGGTTCCATGCCTACTTAGAAGACTGCATATGCTCAAACCTGTTTCATCAAATTCTGCTTTAAAAAAAAGCAACAGTACTCACGATAAATGATTTCCACAACCAAATTTATGCAGTGGACATAATTAAAAACAAAGATTAAGTGTCTTAGTGTATTTGTGTTATACAGTTAATTTAGGATAATTAGTACTGAGGGCATAATAATAGTAGCCACCAGTTAATAAGCAGCCACTATGTGCTGGCACAGCATATTCTTTTTCCTAAAACCAGCTGGGATCTACTCTGAGAAATCTCGGTTGCGCTAAGTAACCAAAAATCTACCCTTATTCATGTTGGTGGTCTTAGCTTCAGCACATTAAGCCCATATATTAATAAATTTTGATGCAATAAGTACTGAGTATAGCACTGGCATGGATAATTACCCATTTCATGAGGTTTTGAGCTAATTCTATAATAGGCTCAGAACATAATACCTGCGCTTAACCCATGCTAAATGTACTGGTTCTGCAAGCATCTAGAGTGGTAATTAAATATGGAAATACTAATTTAGTCAATTTAGGATTTGGCTTAGGACTATGCATATTTAATAAGCATCGCAAGTAATTCTTAACCCATTGAAGGTAGGAAATCAATGACTTAAGGATGTGACATCTTTCCTGAATGTCTGAGGAAATGGGGTTCCTTCTTATGACCAATTTTAAATTTGTCCTTGAGCTCTTTGCCTCCCTCTTCCTCTGGATGTTTGCTTCATTAGCTGTTCATTTTGTTATCAATTAAGTATCCCTCTGCATATCTGCTTACTTTCTCCTTACAACATGCTCAACTCTCTCTTTACAAATAATTAAAAACAAAAACTACAATATATACTCTAACTGAACTCCCTCAAATTTGTACCTCTTCTCCCTTCCTACTTCCTTTCTGTAGAAGGATGTTCAATGTACTGTCTCTACCTCAAATCTGTAGTGCAAGCTTTCTGACTTTGGCTTACCCCAAGTGAGTGCAACCTATCATTCCATCTTATCTCCCCCAACACCCATTTGAAACAGACCATTTTTGACAAGTTTCAAAAATTATCTAGTGCCTCTCACAGTATTAATCTTCCTCTCATAATTGCTTGTCCCAATCTCATCAGTCCTTTGAGGCTCACTTTCAATGCCACCCAGTATATCCATCCTTTCCTACTGTCTAAACGCCTTTCATTGGATACTTGCTATCTTTCATTAGAAACTCCTCATATTCCATTGGTTTCTTCCTTATGACACATATTTTACTTCCTTTAGTATTCTGGTTCCTTACCTTATTTTCTAAACTAAACTAAACTAAACTAAACTAAACTAAACTAAACTAAACTAAACTAAACTAAAACTAAACTAAACTAAACTAAACTAAATTAACTAAACTAAAAAACAACACACAGAAGAGGATGTCTATGTCTCCCTCATCTTTAAACCCCTTATAATATAGTCCTTTCTCAATATTAAACTTCATCTCATGCTCAAAGAATAACACTTTAATGTAGCCAGTGTTCACAGTGTATCCATAATTAAGAACACTTACTTTCCTCATTTCTCTTGAGATAATGGATGCTATATTTTTCATAATTATAGGATATGAGCTAAAGATATCTTTTAAAACACAAACCTGTAATACTATCTTCATTATGCTATGGCTTGTGCATTTCCATTTTCTTGTCGAAGTTTCTTTCGTTCTTCAGCTTCTCCTTCATAGTCCCTGAAGTTTCGTTTTCGAAGCCTTCAGAGAACAAAATATGCTACTGTCATCAAAGTTCTATTCATCCATGTATTAGGGTTTTCATGAATACAGGGAATTCCTTTTTGTGAGTCCTTATAGATCATTATCCACTGTACTCTATGCCAAATCAAAACCCAAACCTAGTTGTAAAATATTACCAATTTTTTTTAAGGAGATGTTTATGGTGACTTTATATCAACATATTTCCAGAGTATTAATATTTAAATAAATGTGCCTTAAGATGCAAATTTTCAGAAGGCATGGAACACATCAATATGTTTTTATTTTTCAAAATCTAGCAGAGTATATGCACAAATGGAGGCAGAAGATAGTATAGTTTTACCATAGAAGGACTTCATGTTTGAACAAACTAATTTAAATGATTAGAATTTTTTAAAACAGGCTTACAAAATAAGTTGAGCTTTATTTTTAAATATCATACTTCCTTCTAGTTTTATTTATTGCTGCTTTTTATTTTAAAAAACTCAATAATAAAAAAATAAAAAATTAAATTAAAAACTCAATGATTTAAAAATGTCTTGGTGTTGTAGAAACAATTTTTTAGTAGGTCTTCAATCCACCTACTAAATGTTATTATTAAATCATAAGAACTTTTGTTGTGATGCATAGGAAAAAATTCACTTCAAAAATGAAAGAACACCAATTGTGGCTTAGGCTAGTGTTTTTTATGTGTTTCAAATACAAGGAGAATATAGGAGAAAGGGTGAAAAGTCACTGCTTAGTTTTAAGAGTGCCGACATGACAAAGTTTTCCATGATTTTCCAAAGAATTAAATATTTCAACTTGGAGATATCTATCTATCTA